GTCAAGCACTTGTTTTTACTGATAATTTGTTCTTCAAACTTTTATGAAAGTTTCAGGCTCTTTAAATCTATATGGTCAACTTTAAATGCTTGCAACAAATAGTGATAAGGTTTGTAATAACTATATTTCTAAAACAGGGAAAAAACGTTTAAAATCCCATCTGATTAATAATGTACTTGTTTAAGGTTTTAAAGAGCACCTGGATTACCAATAGGCTATTTTTTTAGGAATATATTAAAAGTGCTAAATGTCAGAATTTTGCTCTATAAAAATTGTAAATCTTTTTCTGATTTCATTTTATTTTCCCCAGTGAGTGGAGATGAGTGGTCGGACAGTTGGTCTGTGGGAAGTTCTGCTTACAGTTCATTCAGATCACGATCAGGAGCAGACAGCAGTTCAGTTTTTAGCTCATCACGCTCAAAGGTCTCATCTCACAGCTCAGGATTCGGGTCTTTGCGGTCCATCCCTGAATCCGTGGAACATTCAGAAATCAAAAAAGCACATGGAAAGCCCAAGATCTCAAAGCTTTTCCCAAGAATATTACAGAAGCGTGATAAGCATGAAGAAGACACTAAGAAAACTTGAATGATAACAAATTAATGAATGAGAAATTGTGTCTTTATAATGTTGACATTTATAGTTTCAACATTATAATAGTTAATGATAACTATTACTAAATGTATAAGGTTTATGCAATTGTTTTAACCTTAAAGTGATGTTGAAGTTAATTGTATCTCACAATGGCAGAGTTTGTGTTAACATTGCAGTTTTTTTATTATAAATTTGTGTTTATTTTTTAACTTTCTTAATAAATGCTTTCATTTTTAATCCCAGATTTATGTACATATACACAGATGCACAGAATCACTGTTCCAATGCTTTGCTGTCTACTGTTGGCAAATGGCTGATATTTGTGATTTGAAGCTTCTAATGCAGCATCCTAAACATCAAGAAGTGCTCCGCAAGAGATCTGCATAAATGACTCGACCAATGCTTACAGTTATTTCCAAAAGAGTGTGAAGTTACTGGGTCCATCTAATAAAGCACAAAAATTTATGGAACAAGAATTGAGTTTTGTTTTATAATCAGACAGATCTATAGTTATATTTAAAATCAGAATTTCATTGTAATGCATTCTGGGATTGCATTTCTTGTGAAGGATACATGTTCACTGCCATGTTCACAAGGATACATGTTCAATTTGGTCAAAAGGAGAAATCTTACAAGACTGCATAATTTTGCTGCTGACTGTTTGGAATATGAATCATATTGGGGAGTGTGATGATGTCTAAATGCTGTCTCGGTAGGCAGTTCAAACCATGCCTTCATCTTCTCCACTGTACTACTTCAGGAAAATGTACAGGTTTTTGCCAAATGAAGGTGACACGATCTGCTGCTCAGTTACCGCTGAGAGTGGAAGTAGAACAGCTCTCTCTGACTCAAGAAAGACTTCATGAACGATGAGTTGTGTTTCACTGGATCACTGTGTGTGTGCAGGATGTGGTGCGGAGCTGGTATCCGCGTTTACCCTCCATCGTACAGAACGCAGAGCAGCTGGTGACCAATGCAGAGGAGTGTGCTGAAGCCTGCAGAGAGGGTGAGACACACACACAAGGATGATATTTTAAAAATTAAGGTTTAAAAACTAGAATTGTTCCACCATATTGCACAAAATCAAAGTAGCATTAATCAGTTTAGTGTCCGATATCAGCCTGCATGTCCCTTAACACTTAATTTAACCACTGGTAAGAACATAAATGGTTAAAGTAAAATGTATGTTATGAATATTGTTGGTCCTGCTGATGTTTTGACAGGGCATTGGTTCCTTCAGTGTTCATTCAGTGGAGCTGGATATGGGATCTCAATCATTCAGAAGAGCTCTGAACATCCTGAACAACAGCAGACGACATAAATCTGAGTGCCGTAACTGATATTATTTCAGACAGGTTATTTTTAGGACATGGCTCTGTACTCAGACCTTTCGTTTAAATTTTTTTTGGCTGTATAACAAAAGTACTCAGATGAAGATTAATTATGAAATAATTTCTTCCTACATCCTACAGTTTAGAATAACTTCTGTTATGTTTATTGTATATGATGGCTCTTCATTATGAGTATTAAGATGGAAGTTTAGGGTTGCCTCAAGAAATAATTTTAATCGTTAACAAAAGCTACTGTCACTTTAAAAGAAAAACAACCTATTGTGTATGCCTAAAGTAACATACCATTGAACGTCACCTTGACCCGCCCCTTGCGCGTCTGAAACACCTGTACGTATTGAAAGTAAAGTGAAAGTTAAAAGCTGGTGGAACTACAGTTACTCAAACTGCGACTGAGATCATGTCAAGTAAAATGGACTTCGGTAAGTATAATTCTTTTGTAAAATTAATCGCCTTTGTCATAATAAATAAATACACTTTTTCTCAGGGGCGTTAATTGCGTATGGCAAGACACAGGCTACATTATTAAATTAGTTGTAGATCTTTGTAAATACTAACACACACAAAAAGAACAATACGATGAGTTTGCTATAGGCTAGCCCAGGGGTAGGCAAGTTCGGTCCTAGAGAGTTCAGCTTCAACCCTAATCAGACACACCTGAACAAGCTAATCAATGTCTTCAGGATTACTAAGGCTATAGGCAGATGAGTTTTGTTTTCAGGGTTGGAGCTGAACTCTGCAGGACTGCGGCTCTCTAGGACCGAACTTGCCTACCCCTGGGCTAGGCCTACATTATTCGCTCTAACTCGTTCAACCGGTCTTCACAACCAAGACTCGGGCGTCGGGGTTTTTCCATCACTTATCATTAGAACCCATGGCTCTCGATTCTGACTTGTACTTGCTGTTATGAAAATGTACCATAGTTCTTAAAAGAATTTGTTATAATAAGGCTAGCCTATTAATCATTACCAGGCCAATAATGACTTTTTATTAATCTACAAACCCCATTCCAAAAAAGTTGGGACACTGTACAAATTGTGAATAAAAACAGAATGCAATGTGGAAGTTTCAAATTTCAATATTTTATTCAGAATACAACAGATGACATCAAATGTTTAAACTGAGAAAATTAATAATTTTAAGGGAAAAATAAGTTGATTTTAAATTTCATGGCATCAACACAACTCAAAAAAGTTGGGACAAGGCCATGTTTACCACTGTGTGGCATCCCCTCTTCTTTTTATAACAGTTCTTCTGCAAACGTCTGGGGACTGAGGAGACAAGCTGCTCAAGTTTAGGAATAGGAATGTTGTCCCATTCTTGTCTAATAGAAATCCAAAATGAGCCAATATTTGGCATGACATTTCAAAATGTCTCACTTTCAACATTTGATATGTTATCTATATTCTATTGTGAATAAAATATAAGTTTATGAGATTTGTAAATTATTCCATTCCTTTTTTACTCACAATTTGTACAGTGTCCCAACTTTTTTGGAATTGGGTTTGTATATAGCATTTGTTATGAAAAACAACAGCCTGCAAATTTAGAAACAATAGCTAGGCTACAGCAAGTCACAGTTGTAATATAAATCTATAGGGAAAAATCTATTCCCTTAAAAGATTAGGCCTATCTATTATAAATTCTACAACAAGTTCAACAAAATGTACCACAATAAATAAGCCTACAATAAAACGTGAGAAATTCTTCTGATAAAGGTGGTCATGAGTAGTTTAAAATGATTTTAATATATTTACATTTACATTACATTTAGATTTAGACATTTAGCAGACACTTTTATCCAAAGCGACTTACAAATGAGGACAATGGTGTAGCATTTGGACCAATCAGACACATTTGTTCAGTAGATTTAACAAATCAATTATTCATTATATTAACTGTGTCAAAAGCAACAGACAGATCCAGCAAGATAAGTTTTGAAGATTTGGAATCCGCTCTTGCCAGTTTTAGAGCTTCAACAACTGAGAGCAGCAGTATCGGTTGAATGTCCACTTCTGAAACCAGACTGGTTGCTGTCGAGGAGGTTGTTCTGTGTGAGAAAGGCAGACACTTGGTTGAACACAGCTGGTTCAAGTGTTTTTGCAATGAAAGGAAGAAGAGTCTATAGTTCTCTAAAAGAGATGGGTTAAGGGTGGGTTTCTTAAGTAGTGGGGTTATATGAGCCTGTCTAAATGCTGAGGGAAAAACACCAGTGTGAAGGGATGTGTTAATGATGTGAGTGAGTGCAGGTACAACTGCAGGAGAAATGGCTTGAAGAAGATGAGATGGAATAGGATCAATATATGTTATATATGTTAGTGCTGGTGCAAGATTGTTTTCTCCTCTTTTCATCAGTCTTTTTAGTTTATGTGCCTTTTTAGATAATGTTCGACTTTCTCCATAGCATTTTAAAGTGGCAATTTCTCAATAGAATTAAAATAGATCACACATTTTACCATCAGCTTCGCGATAGGAATTGCTCACGCAAATCTGATCACACTTTTCGAGCGTGCAGAATGTTAGGTGATTCGTGAAGTCGCGTTTTAATTAACAGCCTGATTCTAGGTTTCCATTAACCATAAATATGGGGGGGGGGGGGGGTTACACCCCCTATCCCCCCAGCAAACTACGCCCCTGAGAGATATTCATGTGAGAAAAGTACACGTATGCTTTTCTGAGGGTTATACTAAAGGCCTCGCCGTTTGTCTCGTATATTTTTAATACTGATCATAATTGATAGGCTCTAAAAATGCGCTTTTATGTTTTCCTTGGGCTCTAGAGAGAAATGCTGCATAGTACCTGCATGAATGTACATAGGAGTTCAGAGGCCGAGCCGCTGAGGTCAAGATTTTAATTCAATAATAAATTATATTTTTGTTTTATTTCTCACGGTCCCTTACTGTATGCCTTCAGCAAATGTGATTTTATGACATGTTCACGTTTTTAGTGAATTGCATGTGTTAAATATTTCAATTAATTTTAATGAATATAATAATTAAAAACACGGTGTTGGCAGTTCAGCTTCGCTTAGTCTGCTTTATGTAATCTATCTTTTTTGTGTACCATTCAAATAACTAACTACATAAATAAGTAAAATTAAAGGTATTAAAGCCCATTTTTTTCTGATTTGACAGCTTAAATCCATTCATGAGGTATATATTTGTATTATAAACAATGTTAATTAAATAGCATAGATTTATCTTAGCATTCTTGTTATTATTAAATGCACAGGAAACATGATGATTAGTGTGCTTTATTCTATGTTTGTTGCAGGTGAAACTCAACATCTCTCAGAGCTGAGGATTGTGTTAATGGGTAACAGAAATGTTGGGAAGAGTTCAACAAAAAACACTATTCTGGGCAGAGAGGAGATTGACTTCTTATCTCATCGGTGTGTAAAGAGACATGGAGAAGTAGCAGGTAGACACATCACTGTCATTGAAGCTCCAGGATGGTGGAGGAACGAATCTGTCGAGGAGAGTCCTGAGTTACTGAAACAGGAGATTTTGCTCAGTGTGTCTCTGTGTCCTCCAGGACCACACGCTGTACTACTGATCATACGTGTGGACTACCCATTTACAGAGAATAATAGAAAAGTATTGCAGGGGTATCTGGATCTTCTCGGTGAGAGAGTCTGGAGTCACACTATAGTGCTGTTCACTCGTGGAGACTATCTGTCAGACACATCTATAGAGCAGCACATTGAGAGTGAAGGGCAGGATCTCCAGTGGCTTCTGGACAAATGTGGGAACAGGTATCATGTTCTCAACAATCAGAACAGGAGTGACCACACTCAGATCAAGGAGCTGCTGCAGAAGATTGAGGAGACAGTGGCACAAAACAACGGCTGCCATTTGGAAATAGACAGAAATAATTCAGAAATCATAGATCGAAGCAAGGGATCTTCAAGAGGAAGCTTTGAAAATGCAACAGATATGAGTAAGTAAATTCTTCTTGATGGATACTTGATGGATAATTTATTTTCAGTTTGAAGATACAAGATGAAACCAGTGGAGAAATTGTATTGACATGTATGCATTTTGCAGACACATTTATCTAAAGTGTCTTACATTTTAGTCAAAGTTTACAGCATGAATTAAAGCCATTATCCTGGTATTGCCATCCCACACTCTACCAGCACTGGCACACAGATGACCTTTTTTTTTTCTTTTTTTTTGACAGAGGAAATAAGTGTCTTGTGTTTTCTGTTAAACTATGGTGTTGCAAAGTTAGTGCAATAGTGCTGCAGTTTCCGTTTCTTATTCCCTGAACCATTTTTAGCATTTTCATAGGGAACAGCCACAAGTAATGAAAAGTCTTTATTAGTTTTACAGTATTTCTAATAAGTGGAGAGAATTTTTGTGCGGTTTTCCTATTTTTGTTTTTCAGTAAACTTAGTATGAGACATTTTCCATTTGGATCTGCTATTATTATTCTACAGTGGGTGATGGAGAGAGCCCTTCCTTCAGTCCACTCACAAAACAAAAGAAAAGATCACAAAACACACGTCTCTCTGAGCTTGTAAGAAAATCTCTCAGCATTGGAGTTCCACCATCCAGTTAGTATCTTTGTTCTATTCAACCGTCTGTCTGTCATTTACACCACTTTTAATGATCCATTCAATTTCCATTGGATAAAAAGTTCCTACATGATGATTTTCTACTTTTTGTCTAGTGAGTGTTGAAGGGAATACAGTAACTGAAATATTTAACAGATGCCACACAATTGAGCCCACAACAACAGCACACAGCAGGAAAGTTGGACCATCCAGTGAGTATCTTTTTCTTACAAGAGTTTGATCTTGAAATTTATAATAAAAAAAATACATAATACTTATTCCGTTTGTTCGGGCCTATTTTATTATCTTTTGATTGAACATTATGATGGCTGTCATAATGTACTGCTGTACTGCATCAAAAAGATGCAGTACCATTATATTTAACTGACTGTTCTTTCTCGTAAATTTGTGTTAACAAACATTTAAAAAATATCCGGTACACTCTTAAAAATAAAGGTGCTTCACGATGCCATAGAAGAACCTTTTTGTCTAAATGGTTCCATAAAGAACCTTCAACATCTGAAGAACCTTTCTGTTTCACAAAAGGTTCTTTGTGGCGAAAGAAGGTTCTTCAGATTACAAAAAGGTAAGAATGAGATGGTTCTTTAAAGAACCATCTCATTCTTACCTTTTTGTAATCTGAAGAACCTTCTTTCGCCACAAAGAACCTTTTGTGAAACAGAAAGGTTCTTCAGATGTTGAAGGTTCTTTATGGAACCATTTAGACAAAAAGGTTCTTCTATGGCATCGCTTGAAGAACCTTTTGAAGGTATAAAATACCTTTTGTTCTCTTTAATCTGTTGCTGGTCAGTTTGTTGATTGTAACATTTGTAACACAAACCAAGTATATGAGGTAAATTAGTGTTTTTTTCTTCTCATGAGGATTTATATAATTTCTATTTTTCTTTGCTCTCCACAAAGCACATAATATTTTAACAAATTAATTCCAATTGACTCATTAAATTAATTCCAAAAAAATAATTTTTTACTACAATCTATTAAAAAAAAATATATATATATATATATATATATATATATATACATTGTATTATAGTGTTTGAATGCCTTAAAAAAAATATTAAAGGAAGAATTTCACATTCAAATTTTAAAATGAAATTTTTATAGCATTTGATTCTGTCAAATGCATTAATGTGAATATTCTACTATTGATCTGCTCTCTGTTTTCATTATTATAGTGAGTGGAGATGATGGATCTGATTCATGGTCTCTGGGAAGTTCTGCTTATGGTTCATTCAGATCACGATCAGGAGCAGACACAGTTTTTGGATCATCACGTTCCAGAGATTCATCTCACACAAGTTACGAGTCAGGGGCCATAAAACGATATAACAGCATTGAACTTCCACCACCCAACAGTGAGTGTCTTTATTTGGCTGTTTCAGTACACTTTGGTCTCACTGTGACCTTTTTTTAATTTAAATATTAAGAATCCCATCTGTTTTGTTGTGAAATGGTGAAAATGTATACATAACCCATAGAAAACTGTAGTAGTAGCAAAGTTTTTCTGTCATGTTTCTAATCTCTGTCGATCACAACTAATTATGATATAGTATATTATATACTGTATATGTACACAGTAAAAAAATCCCCTTAAAAATAAAAATAAAATACAATAACATAAAATAATACAGAACAAATGTGAAAATCATTTTAAAATTCATTTTAAACTTGTGAATTCGACAATGCACACTGCTACTAAAATGTGTTTTCTAACTTTAACATATACTGACAACCACCATAATAATGCAGGTGATAAAAGAGGAAGCCACATGAAGAATAATGAAAATCATTCAATTTCCATTGGATAAGTCCCTACATCATGATGATTTTCTACTTTTTGTCTAGTGAGTGTTAGAGGGAAAACAGTAACTGAAAAATGTTACAGACGCCACACAACTCAGTTCACAGCAAGACACAGCAGGAAAGTTGGACTATCCAGTGAGTATCTTTTTGTTACAAGAGTTTGATCTTGAAATTTATAATAATAATAAAAAAAATACTTATTCAGTTTGTTCGGGCCTATTTTATTATCTTTTGATGAGGTGTTGAACATTATGATGGCTGTCAAAAATCAAACCGAATGAAACAACTAGTTATTGATGCACTTAATAGCATTAAAATGATGTGTTTAACTTCTGACATTCTGAAATGATCTAGATTAAGATAATGAATTGGAAAAGTAATTTTAAGTGTGTACAGTATGTGGCCAAAGATAAACTGTTTTTATAGTCTATAAATCTGGGGGAAAAAAAGGAAGTTTAGCACAGGTTAGATCAACGATGACTAGAAACAGTCAGAGTCACCTCTAAAAGTGAAATGATGAGTCAGATGATAGGGAAAGATCTCAGATATATAATATATTGTGTTAGCCTGTGTTCTAGCACATTTTAAAAATATTTCTTCTGCTTGTATATTTTTCCCCAATGAATTTAGTTAAGAGGTCTCGGGTAAACTCTGCCCAACTAGAAGCAGACAGCAGGTTTGGGTCATCATGCTCCATAGTCTCCACTGGCAGCTCAGGATATGGATCTTCATGCTCCCTTCCTCAATCTGTGGAACAGTCAGAACACAAATGGACAAATAGTGCGTTTAAGATTTCAGAACTTTCAGACAAACAAGATGAGTGTGAAGATATGAACTTATAAGAATTAATGTATGCAAATGACTGTTTATATAGCCATCCATTCTCCAAGCTGCATGTTCTATGTAGCGATTCAGGAGCCTGTCCCAGCATCTCAGGCCTGTCGTAGACAGGGAAACACTCTGGATGGATGGCCAGTTGTTTAAATATCTTAATCTATAAAATATTAATATTGTACACTGTAAAAACTGGGATTCAGTAATCCAGTACCATTATATTTAACTGTTCTTTCACATAAATTTGCGTTAACACACATTTAAAAAAAATATCTGGTATAAAATACCTTTTGTTCTCTTTAATCTGTTGCTGGTCAGTTTGTTGATTGTAACATTTGTAACACAAACCAAGAATATGAGTAAATCAGTGTTTTTTCTTTTCTTATGAGGATTTAAATGAGCTCTATTTTTCTTTGCTCTCCACAAAGCACATATTTTAACAAATTAATTCCAATTGACTTGTTACATTAATTCCAAAAAACTATTTTTAACTATTTGCAGTTATTTTCACTGATTTACTTGTTACTCTTATTTCAAAATTATATTTATAATCGATATACACTGTGTATATATGTATATGTATGTGTATATATATATTTTAATACTGTATTATAATGTTTGAATGCCTTAAAGAAATATTAAAAGAAAAAAAATTCAGTAAATTTTTTTAATAGCATTTGATTTCATATTTCAAATGGCAATGACAAAGTTTTTACATCCAAATACTGCACACACAAATATTTAAGTTTTATAAAGATCAAGAAAAGTGCTCCTGTCCATTTTCAACCTTACAAGAACCCCTATAAATATGCTTTACAGCAATATATTATTGGCAAACACTATTATAAAGGCAGCAGACCCATTTGAGCTATATGACCTAATTGAGGTCCTTAACACCAACACATTTTAGCCCCAAAACACACACCAGCAAATACAGTGCAAGCCGTTTAACGTTTCTAAAATTCATCTCAAAAGTGAAATCCTTAACAGTGATACAGGAAGTGTAAACAAACATCCCAGAAAATGTGACCACAAATACAATCCAAGGCTTTATTTCAAAGCAGATTGATCCGGTCTGCTCTGCAGGTTCCATGAAGATGTCACTGGTGTGTTTTTAAACTGGTGTCAGGAAGTTCAGGTTGAGGCTGCTGGGGATCTGGATGGTCTCGAGGGCCACAGGTGAAGGGTTGAAGGGGAAAGTGACTGGGAAAATGATCTTTGCGTCCATCAGTAACTGAGAAGACTCCTTCCGATCCTTTAATAAAGTCTAGAGAGGATGGAGAAGTGTTTTACTATGTAAATCGAACAATATCTGACTTAAAATGCATTTAAAAACATTGAGAAATGACTCACCTGTACAGACTTTATGAATGATATAGACACTCTCTCCTCAAACTCATTCACTGGTGTGTACAAGCGGAGGATTTTCACAATCTGTCACAAACAGACACAGAACATCAGAACTGAACTCAAGGTTTCATCAGAGACTCCATTCAGATCTCGCACACGCACACACACACACACACCTGTTCAGTGGTGAGAGCTGTGCACATAGTACAGATGGCCCCTGCATCGTCCTGGCTCTTCTTTTTGATCTGCAGAAGCTGAGCTGCCTGAATCAGAGGCTCCAGAGACTCACGCGCTCCACTGCCCTGAAGATCTTTATCCAGCAACCACTCCTCCAGCTGACATACATTATACCTTATATAAAGAAAAAAATAATTGTAAATAAAATAAATACATGCATATATATATATAT